AGGGCCCCTCGGGGGCTCCCCCAGCCCACCCTCCTGCCCAAGCAGGGTCACCCAGAGCAGGCTGCACAGCACCGCGGCCAGCCGGGTCTTGAATATCTCCAGAGAAGGAGACTCCACAGCCTCCCTGGGCAGCCTGGGCCAGGGCTCCGTCACCCTCAGAGGGAAGAAGTTCTTCCTCGGGTTCAGCTGGAGCTTCCTTGGCTTCAGTTTGTGCCCGTTGCCCCTTGTCCTGTCGCTGGGCACCACTGGAAAGAGTCTGGCCCCATCCTCCTGACTCCCACCCTGCAGATATTTGTAGGCATTTATAAGGTCCGCTCTCAGCCTTCTCTTCTGCAGGCTGAACAAGCCCAGCTCCCTCAGCCTTTCCTCGTAGGAGAGATGCTCCAGTCCCCTCATCATCCTCGTAGCCCTCCGCTGGGCTCTCTCCAGTAGCTCCTCATCTTTCTTGAACTGGGGAGCCCAGAACTGGACACAGCACTGCAGATGGGGCCTCCCCAGGGCAGTGTAGAGGGGGAGGAGAACCTTCCTCGACCTGCTGGCCACACTCTTCTTCATGCACCCCAGGATCCCATTGGCCTTCTTGGCACCCAGGGCACACTGCTGGCTCATGGTCACCCTGTCATCCACCAGCACACCCTGGTCCCTCTCCGCAGAGCTGCTCTCCAGCAGGTCAGCCCCAGCCTGTACTGGTGCATGGGGTTGTTCCTCCCCAGGTTAAGGACTGAAAGGACCTTAAACTGAAAGGACCATAAACTGAAAATAAGACACAAATTTTTCCATTGCCTCCCTTTTTTTCTCAGCTAAAGCAGAAAAAAAATAACAAATCAGTTATGCGCCCTGCTCTGATGATGATCTTGTGATACATCACATTGCAAGGACGTTGTCACAGAGAACCGATGCTGCTACATCTGCTTGATCAGCCTCTTATCTAGAGATAAGAAGAAGAAACGCGTGTTGAGGGACAAATATTTATTCAAGGACAAAATCCCGTATTTCATGTATGTCAGAAGGGTCCAGCAGGCAGAAGTTCAGATTCCACTGTGCCACTGCTATGATTCGTGAATGAGGGTTAAACGCAGGAATCCTTCATCCTTAAACAAAGCGGAGCTAGTCCTAAACAGGCAGCAGAAGCCCTGAGTGCAAGACTCTGATGGGGCACTGCGTTATTTTTAATGTGTTCGGGGTCTGTGGCTGTATCGCCACCAGTCAGTGGGAAAATTACCCTTTGCAGCATCACTGTTCCTCCCCCGGGCTTCCAGCTCTGCCTCCCTCTTCCCCCATCTCCATTTCTCCTCTCCTCTTCCTCTGTGCGGTCTTTCTTCCAGCTTTCCTCTTGCCATTCCCTCTCTGCGTGCTAATTAAAACCCCACTCTGGGGTTCTAGAGTTTTGGTGAGAACAGTGGAGGGTCAAAGGGGCTCTCACCCCTGAGTCGCTGATCCCACGCAGGCTCCCGGATGCTCATAAATCAGCAGCAAATCCCCACCAGCATCACCGAGGTGTACCTTCAGCTCTCCTCCTTGGCCTGCCTTCTCCAGGAGCCGTGCTGGTCTGCCGGCAGGCACGGACCACGTGCGCGCGTGAAGTTAAAAAGAAGTGACGATCCTTTCGTGGCTCTGCCTGTAACACCCCCCTGCTCTCGCCGCTGAGGACTCGCTGTGTCTGAACGAGTCGCCTGGAAACTTCAGCCATTGCCAGCTTCTATAAAAAGTGGTTAATCTGCTTCTGCTCGGTGAGGAGCTCGGGTGGCTTTGCAGCTCCGGGAACCGAGGGGGTAAGCGGCCACGTACATCTGACCCCAGCTGTCGTGGTCCCGTTCGAGACTCCAGGCTGGCATTTCAATTATTTACTTATACATCTTATCTTTCCTGTTTTTAGCAGCATCTGCCAGCTTGCACTACAGTTGTGTCCTTCCCGTGACAGATCGGTTTGGACAAGGAAGGAAAAAGGCTGCGCTTAATGGTGCGCTTTAATTGGCTTTTCATTATGAAAGCTTAGATGTCTCTGCAGCAGAGCAGAGCTGGAAATCAGTGGCAGGGTGAGGACTGGGCTGCAAACTCCTCCCGAAGCGTGAGAGTTGCTGAGGACCAAGGTTTTGGTTCAGTGTCATCACTACAGGAGGATTTTCTAGGATCCTCTTCGGGGGTGATGTAACCAGCATCCTCACCACTGGCTTCAGGGACGATGGAAATACTGTATCGGAGATCCGTCTCCACCCTGTGCAATATCTGCTAACAGTTACAAGAACGTGCGTATCCACTGATCTCATTTCACCACCTGGAGTCAGGAATTGGGTGGCCACTTCAAAGCTACTCATCCCTACAGCAGAGGTGTCTACGCAGCCTTTTCCTCTTCACCCCTTTCAAGCTGGGAAATTTAAATCATGACGTAGGACCGCAAACGCCGCTGCATTTCAGGCAAGCACTGCCAGAGCAAAGCCCAACGGGGAAGGATGCTGGAGCGGGTTTGGAAATATTTCACGAGGTCTTTAGTGCTCAGAGGGAGGGGGTTTTGGAATGGCCTGGCCATAGCAGAAGCATCTTGTGAAGAGCAGCAGAGCACCTCCGAGCAAGTGGTACACGAAGCACTTGCAATGTCTGTCTGCCTTGCACTCACTGTGATCACTTTTCACCCCTGAGTGAATTCTCCAGGCCAAACTCTGCCCTCGGTACAAGCCGGTGACCCAGCCAGTTTGACCTTTTGCTGAAGCAGCTGCCATGGCCTTTGCCTTATCACAACGTCACTCTCCTATAGGTACTCGTGTACTCTCTGCAGAAGCAAAGATCCTGGCCACTGTGTTTCTAGGACGTGGATCATTTAGACAGTCAGGTGGAAACAACCTGGGCTAGAAAACTTTCCACGTACGCTTAGGTTTTCGTATACAGAGGATATACTCGGGTGCTACCCAACAAGACCCAAGTCTGCATCATACAACAGAGAGACGTGATAAGAAGAAGAAGACCCAAAGTCCAAACTGAGGTAGGCGGCAGGCAGGTTGCAGGAGGAACCTGTGTCAGCCTTGCTGCAGACGGTCTGTTCCTTGGGCTCTGCCAGCGCGGTGCCCCGGGGTGGAGATGCCATCTGGCTCGGCAGAGCAGCCAGCCTGAGGACGGTGCCGGTGCAAGCTGAGGGCGATAGGAGGGTCTGCTTCAGCACATGCCTGTTTTAAAGCCAGCATTTCTGCAAACCTGACTGGCAGACTGCTCATCGCATCCCAGCTTGGGGCTGGGACTGAATCAGGGTGGGGGAACACAGGGTAAAC